ACCTCGCTAAGTAGGTTAGCTGGATTAGATTGTTGACGATTTCGCGTGATCCTGGATCGTTCGGTTCCCCGAAGCTCATCCGGGACTTGCTGTCATAGCAACAGAGCCGTAAGCGTAACCCTGCTCGGGAGCAGGCTTACTTTATGTAAACAGGATTAGATCGCGGCCACGCAGGTATGTCCGCTTCATTTATACGAAAGCAACAGCGATATTCCACCACTGTTTCACCATAAATAAATAACATCAATGTAACTAAAGACAATGCAGCACCTGATCCATTTATTGATTTCACACAGATACATACAGGTCATTTCCTAAAAAAGGGAAATGTACTATTAACATTCTATTACATGTATGTTGTTATTACAGATGTAATTCATATTTCAGAGTAGTAATTGTAAATTACTTCGTGTAATCAAGATGAGAGACCACGGCTATAAAAGCGAAGGTGGATTTGGGAACCCTGTCGCAGCCATGTCCTGTCCGTATACGCGAGACACCCATTGCGGAAGGTGCAAGATTGATAAGGAGAGTTTTCAGAATTCAGCGTATATTGCGGGATAGACAGGATCCTTTAGCTCAGCGCGACAGTGTGCTCATAGAGAGATATCGATTTTCCCGTGAGGATATAATTTACTTAACCAACTTGTTGACGAGGGGGTGCAGGACCACCACCTGTCTTTTTTTTTTGCTCTGCCCTTTTCTTGGTTGCTGTTATAAACAAACAGATCATTCCAGGGTCTCTTTCCAAGAGACGAAAAGCAATATAAGTGATAAATATTACCATTCTGTAGAATATTCTTATATTGCACTTTTACTTGTTCCCATGTTCTAGTGGGTCCTGTTGTGGCTCTAATGTGAAAGAGGATATAATATAACATATTATAATATAATGTAATATAATATTGGATAATATAGTGTAATATAATAAATCTACCCTACCGCCTACTGGTGTTGGCCAGAGGGGCCGATGGCGCGATATGGCAGCCTGGCTTCTGTCAGTCTGCCCCAGGGCAGCTGTGGCTACAACTGTAGCTGCCTCCACCAGTGTGTGAATGTGAGAGTGACTGAATAGTGGCATTGTAAAGCGCTTTGGGTGCCTTGAAAAGCGCTATATAAATCCACTCCATTATTATTGTTATTATTGAATTACTTACGAGTTTGATTTGTCAGCAACTTTCTGCCAGCCCTCTCTCCTTGCTTTTGCAGCCTTTGCAGTGTTCCCTTGCGTTCTGATTAAACTCTGAAACTCCTGAAAATCCCTCACTCAAGAGTTCTTGCTCTGCTGCCGAAAAATACCGAGCACGCTCCGTCGACATTTTCGCCGACCAATCAGAGGGTTGCCGATCAATGTTTCCACTATCGATGCGTAGCCCCTTTTACGACACCCAGACGTAGAGACCTAAAATTCATTCCAGATACACAATATAACCATCCCTCCCAAACAGTGGTCACAAATCAGTCCAAATGTGTGGTAGTGGGCACATCTGCTATATTGAGATAATCCATCCCACCTCATCAGGATGCTGATCTGACATCATGAGTAGTGCACAGGTGTACCTCAGACTGCCCACAACAAAAGGCCACCCTGGAATGTGCAGTTTTTTGCGCTATTGGGGGTCTGGGGACCCAGAACCGGTCAGTATCTGGTGTGACCACCATTTGCCTCATGCAGTGCAACACATCGTCGCATGGAGTCTATCAGATTGTCAGTTGTGGCCTGTGGAATGTTGGTCCACTCCACTTCAATGGCTGTGCGAGGTTGTTGGATATTCGTGGGAACTGGTACACGCTGTCGTATACGCCGGTCAAGCACATCCCGAACATGCTCAATGGGTGACATGTCCGGTGAGTATGCTGGCCATGCAAGAACTGGGACATTCTCAGCTGCCATCTGCCCTGAACAATGTGAACCATGATTCATCCGTGAAGCACACACCTCTCCAACGTGCCAGACGCCATCGGATGTGAGCATTTGCCCACACAAGTCTGTTACGGCGACGAGCTGGAGTCAGGTCAAGACCCCGATGAGGACGACGGGCATGCAGTTGAGCGTCCCTGAGACGGTTTCTGACAGTTTTTGCAGAAATTGTTTGGTTGTGCAAACCAATTGTTCCAGCAGCTGTCTGGGTGGCTGGACTCAGACGATCTTGGAGGTGAACCTGCTGGATGTGGAGGTCCTGGGCTGGTGTGGTTACACGAGGTTGCGGTTGTGGGCGGGTGGATGTGCTGCATATTCTCTGAAAACGCCTGTGGAGCTTATGATTGAGAAATGAACATTCAATGCACGGGCGACAGATCTGGTTGACATTCCTGCTGTCAGCATGCCAATTGCACGCTCCCTCATTGCTTGTGGCATCTGTGGCATTTTGCTGTGAACCAAAACTGCACATTCCAGGGTGGCCTTTTGTTGTGGGCAGTCTGAGGTACACCTGTGCACTACTCATGATGTCAGATCAGCATCCTGATGTGGCACACCTGTGAGGTGGGATGGATTATCTCAATATAGCAGATGTGCCCACTACCACACATTTGGACTGATTTGTGACCACTGTTTGGGAGGGATGGTTATATTGTGTATCTGGAATGAATTTTAGGTCTCTACGTCCATCCCATGGGGAATGGGAGCAGTAACAAAGGTGTTGCGTTTATATTTTTGTTGAGTGTATATAAATAAAACTGAATTAAATGGAACTGATAGTGAAGTACTGGTTCAGGATTTGTCTTCAAAATGCTCACAATAATTTATCATTTATAGCTTTTTCTCTCTGTAGCACTAAAAGAACCATAGTTTTCCACAGCTGCATACCAAACAGATAAATAGCGCACTTAAGTAACACAATGTAGTATTTCATTCAGTGACATATATTATTATTATTATTATTAAACTAATAAAGTTTGACAATGAAAGTTTGATAATACCAACCATTGAATAAAATATCTTAAACCTTAAACTTGAAAGAAATGCCAAAAAACTAAAATTGCTTCCTCATACCCTTTTTTCTTTTGTGTTTTCTTTTTTATATTTATTATTTTATGTGATATGTTCTTTGTTTTGAAGTTGTTTCATCCCTGCAGGATCACTTAACATATTGTTAAAATTTTTCCTAGTTAGATCACTAACAAAAACAGGCATTCACCTGTTATTCAGAGGAGATGTGATTCCTGTCATGACTCATAAATGACTTTTTTTTCTGGACTGCTAAATCACTATCAGACTCTGGATTGAGACTTGCCCCTTTGATGTTGTGACTATACAGCACAGTTGTTCCAGGCTTACTGAAAACAATTACCATTCACTGCTCACGATATTGATAATATGTCTGTGAAGGTTCTCAGTCATCCAGGTCATCGTAGTCAAAGGAGCTTGCAAAGAAAAGCATCTGGACTTCTTTAAGTTGCTTGAAGACGTTTCACCTCTCATCCGAGAAGCTTCTTCAGTTCTAAGGTCAAATGGTGGAGAGTCCCAGATATAAACCTAGTGAGTTTCCCCCACAGAGGGACAAAGGACCCCTGATGATCCTCTAATCGCCTGAGCCAAGGTGTGAAACTGGGTGTGGGTCCCAATCAGCCAGAGTCGGGTGATTTCATTGTGAACCTGGCCCACCTTTATCATCTTGAGGTCAGATGGCCCAGGATTGAGTGGCGTTAAGGCGTCTGGGAAGGGATCTCAAAACTGGATATAGATGCGGCGGAGAGTTGGTGTCGTAAACCCCGCTCTGTCAAAGATGGTCGCTCACAGGGGACATAGATGGCTTCTTCACTCCTCTTTCAAACCATCTGTCCTCTCTGTCCAAAATGTGAACATTGCATCCTCGAAGAGTGACCTTTGACCTTTAGATGCAGATGACTGCTGAGTCTTGTCTGTGGAGGTGGCTCTTCTGGTTGTGCCATGCGCTTGTGAAGTGGCTGTTTGGTCTCTCCAATGTAGAGGTCTGAGCATTCCTCGCTGCACTGTACAGCATACACCACATTGTTAAGTCTGTGTTTTGGCGTTTTGTCTTTCGGGTGAACCAGTTTCTGTCTGAGCGTGTTGCTGGGTCTGAAATACACCGGGATGTCATGCTTGGAGAAAACTCTCCTGAGTTTCTCTGATACGCCGGCTACATAGGGGATGACAATGTTGTTGCGTCTGTCCTCCCTCGCTGGTGTCTGATCTTCTTTTCTGTGCCTCTTTGCTGACTTTAAGAACGCCCATTTAGGATAGCCGCACGTTTTGAGTGCTTCCTTTACATGTGTGTTCCTTCTTTTTCCTTCAGGCTTAGAGGGAACATGTTGTGCCCGGTGGTGTAGGGTCCTGATTACTCCAAGTTTGTGTTCCAGAGGGTGATGGGAGTCAAAGAGGAGGTACCGGTCCGTGTGTGTGGGCTTCCGGTAAACTTCGATGTTGAGTTTGCCGTTCTCTTCAATGTGCACAGCGCAGTCCAGGAAAGGCAGACAGTTGTCCTTTGTGTCTTCCCTGGTGAACTTGATGTTCTTATCCACAGCGTTAATGTGCGCAGTGAAGGATTCCTTAGAACTGAAGAAGCTTCTCGGATGAGAGGTGAAACGTCTTCAAGCAACTTAAAGAAGTCCAGACGCTTTTCTTTGCAAGATATTGATAATAGTTTTTATATAACAGAGTGAACTACTTCCATAAACATTAATCTGGCAGTTCAAATCGATTATGATATGATTATGATACAATGTCTATTATGTTACTATTATGTACACTCAGTTTCTGTGACTGAAATGAAATCCCATGAGTGTATATGTAGTTAATAAAATCCATTATATTATATATTACTGTTGCATAGATGCTTAACAATAGTTGTAAGAGGCAACTTTTTTAAATAAAACTTTTCAGAAAAAAATATTATATTTTATTATTAATAAATATAGCAAAATAATAAGCCAATTTGTAATAAGGTACTTTGAAGATTTTGTTTTGGAATTTGCAACCTGTATGAGACATTTAAACAAAAAAAATCATTTAGGTAAATGATTGTACGTATACAAGATGAGTTTAATGATGATGTTTAATGAATGATGTTTGCATCAGATTTAATACACACTGCCTTCACTCTTGGCTCATGGCCAGCCACAACACTTGCAACTGTCATGAAAGACAGATCCAGATCCACACTGGGAAACATGGGTCACGCCACCAGCACAGTTGTAAAAGCTGCTTTGGTCATCTGGGTTTGGGTAAAGGCCATCTGGTTTCCCATTGCAGAATCCCGGTCCCGGGGCATGGGTGGTAGTGGTTGTGGTTGTGGTGGTGGTGGTTGGAGTGGTGGTGCTCGCTCCAGGTTTTGGGGTGGTGGTTGGGGGTAGTGTGGGAAGCTCTGGAAAATACAAAGTTTAAATTCATGTTTATATAAGTCACTGCTTAAAATCAATTCTACCTTCTGAAAATATGCTTGTTTAGAAAATATTACGTCTTCATATCTAAATTTCACAGGTTCTTATGATACCAGTTGCACACTGTTTTTTTAAACATAGAAAGACTAAAAGAAATCATTGGCGTTAATCTGCTTTGGGCATACCAATTTCAAGAAGGTTGCGCAGATGAGAGAGCAGAGGATGGGGACCCTCCCCCCAGAATTTTTCTGCAAAGTCATCCAATCAAGAGCCCACACAAAGGCCCCGCCAAACTTCTGATCTTTCAGGTAACGTACCTATTGGGGAAAAATTAAACAGAGATTGATATCACTACCTTGTACATACATAAATGTGTTAAACATAAAGAAATGATGCGAGTTTTCTCGCTTACCTTGGTTTCATAGCTCTCCTTGTTGTCAAATCCTACCCACTCATTGTTTTTGAAAGCATAGGGGACTTTCTGGTCTTCAATCCAGTTAATGGTGCTGCCTTTCACAAAGGTACAGATCTACAGCACAGACTACATGGTTAACATTGTCGTTTATAAATATCATTAGATATCAAAGCAACATATGCTATACATCATGAGGCAATCATTAAATTCCAGCCTTAAGAAATGTACCTCATAATAAGACCAGAATCCAGCTTCACGGGTGTATGGACCAGCTGATGCTGGGCCGCTAGCTGGAGCACCAACACCAGTGTTTGATGATGTCAGGCGGAAGGTACGACCATAAGATGCAAATCCCATCCTCAGCTTCTCCAGTGGGGTGCCATTGTCTCTCCAATATTTCATGGCATAGTCCTATAGAAGTTAAAAAATGTGAAGTTTGTGTTCATAAGAAGGTATGTCTCAGATTCCTTTTATTTCAGTTTTAACTGTTTACGTACAATGTTGAAATAGATAAGGTCACCAGCGTCAAATGATCCACGGTACAAAGGGCTGTTGTGTCCAGTGAATTGCTCCCAAGTTCCATGGAAGTCGTAGGTCATTATATTGATGAAATCTAATTCTCTGCAATAAGGAAATAAACATAAACAGTGACTTTCATGCTTACATTGCACAACTGTCAGATTTCTAAAAGTAGTAGATGAAGTAAGATGGTTTATAAAGCAGGACCCTCACTTGGCTATCTCAGCGATCTCATATCCAGCATCAATGGTTCCTTTTCCAGCAGCAACAGCAGCAGTTAGCATGAGCTGGGGATTGCCGGTAGCTTGGGCTTCAGCTGCAAAGGCAGCAACAAGTTCCTATAAAAGTTCACCACATAACAGTGTAAGAATGGAGTCCATGGGGTGGCTGTAGTTTAGGAGGTATAGCAGATCATCTACCGATTGGAAGGTTAGTGGAATCAGTCCATTTAGCATTTACCATTCAAGTATGATACAAACGAAACAACATCAATGAGATGTAGATTTTAAAAAATGGAGATCTATACCCACCCTGCAGAGCAGAGTAAACCTCTGTTTGTCCTCAGGAGGACTTCCACGGGATCCAGGGTACTCCCAGTCCAAATCCAGACCGTCAAATCCATGAGTCCTCAGAAATCTGATAGTAGACTGGATGAACTTCTGACGATTAGCTGCAGTAGAAACTGTGATGGAGAACCTGCAAAAAAACAAAAAAACACAAAAACCAAGTTAACATTTGATCTTTATAGTAAAATCTGCTTAGTGCTTTATGTCTTTAACAGGAGAATTGTGATTAATGTTTGCTGTGTTTAATAATGGAAACTTCTTTTTGATTTTGATTTGATTCAGACTGATGGTTTACACACAATATTTGGTTAGCTACGTACCATTGTCCTAATGTGAAATAATTTTCTTTCTTTAAAGTATTTCTTACTGTGTTGACCCAAAGTTCCATCCACCAACGGCCAAGAGAGTCTTCAGGTGGGGATTCCTGGAAACAGCAGAAAACTTGTAATATCATTAAAGAAACTGTAATATCTTAGTGGAAAACTCTTAAAGACACGATACGCTCAAGAGGTATTGTGTTTTGCTTTACCTCTGACCTATAGGATAATATCCACTTACTTGGTCTTCAGATCATTGAAAGACTTGTAGAGGACGTCGTCATTCCACTCGTAGGTAACCAGCTCATTGTTGTAGTTGATGATGGAGAATGCATAGATGAGGGTGGTGCATAGGAAAGGGTCCACATTTTGTGGCAGAAACTTTCCATCTCCAGGCCTGTACTGGGACCAGTTGGTGAAGTAGCACTCCATCCTGCTGGCAGATCCTGTGGCGGTGCAAAGTAATATTAATAAAGCACAGGTCCCAGTAGTGATACACAAGTAGTGATCAAAATGTCAGTTGTTTACCAAAGTAAACCCAACTTACCCAGCTGGCTTATCACCAGGCACAAACCTATGGAAATTTTAATATAAGAGTAAGCAAAATAAAAACTTGCATGATATACTTATATTACATAGATCCAGTAAATTCTTAAAATACCTGCTAGAATTGTGGGCCTGGCCATCTCAGATTCACTTCTTAAGAGTTCACTTAATAAAAATGAAGTTGGTTCTACAAATCAGGCAACACTGTAAGACGTATAAAAGTATATATAAATAAATAATCACAATTACGAGAGAATAACTTCGAGAGACTGTTCCCCTTGTTTACTCACCTTGAGACCAGACGAAATACCCAAAAAAGCTGCAGCGAAGGTGGGTCTTTTATACACCTGATTGTATTATGAAAACCAGGAAGGTATAGCACTCTTTCGTAAATCCAAGTCATAAATGGTTTCTTTATTAGGATGTGCTTTGATAAGAGAGTGCTCAGTCTTAGCCATAAGTAGACAATAATTTACTCTATGTGGTATTCTTTTTATGTATATGACCCTGGTGTACTTTAGGTCACTAGATATATCACATTATCATCAGTATTCAGTTAAACCAATCTTAGGACACAATAATCTCCTGATATAACCTTGTTTTGGATACAGAGCATATTGTTATGCTGTCATGGTAACCTTACCTGGGGAAATATAGGTATGCAATTTTATTTTTTGATTATTTTTGATTAAAATAAAGAAGAAAATAACGAAATGGATTATAAAACAATAATACACATTGAAATGCACAAAATGAAAATGTAAACTTTAATATTTCAAGATTAAAGTCAATCTTCAAAGTACAGTGAAGTGTTTATATAAAAATATTCTGCACATTTCAAGTTTATTCTGACAATACAAGAAAGAAAATCCTTTCTTACTGATTAATGATCTACTGATCTACATTATACTATATTTGCACACTTTGCATCTTGCACATCTTCATCCTGTCTTGTCTACAATATCCTGACCATAACTTGAACCTGGTATTCAATACCTACTGCACAATCATCTCACTTTACTGTAATTACACATGACCATTTCGTATTGTCTCTGTCCTGTCTTTGTTTATTGTACAAAGATGTAGTAAGTAATAGTACCTTTTTAGCTCTTAATTTCAATCAAAGCTTTATTCGTCACATTTACCCAAATTTAGCAATTTATTATTTATTTGTAATTCCTAGTTTTATATCTCTCTGAGATTATTTTTTTTTTATATTCTTATAAATGCACCATGGGGCTTGGGGCGAAATGGCATTTCGGTACGCTGTATACTGTGTATATTATTATACTGACAATAAAGACCTTGAATCTTGAATAATGCCTGGAAATAATGGTGAAGGTTTGAATTTCTCAAAATCTGTTTGTTTTTCCTTTAAATGGTCTGTTTTTGAGTTTCAGGTTGTTATTTAAAATAGATGTTGTCAGGATCTGACGGCGCCCTGACCGGTGGACCTGCCAGTGTGTATATTTGTGTGCGTGTGTATGTGTCTTCCCCTCCGGCTCCGCTGTCATGTGATATATGTGACATATAGATAACAAGGAAGACCTGAACAACAGCAAAAGATGTATTTGTTTTCCATGATAACTAATTTCTTTAAAAAGGGAAAATAAATCAATTCATTCAGGAATCTAACTAAATATCTAACCAAAGTATACTTATCTCTAAGTATGCTTTGGTTAGAAAGGTGGCAATAATCAAAAGAGAAGCTCGTAAACTCGTAAAGCTGTATTATGACATATGACATTTATTTCTTTATATCATATTATGGCATTTATATCTTTTGTTGAAGACTAGCCATGACCTTTGATCATCAACCATAAAGCAAAGCAGCAACAAAGTAATTCCTTCATATATATATATACACACACATGAGTGCGTACATGTGTGTGTGTGTGTTTGTGTGTGTGGATAGGTGCATAGGTATAACATAATATACCTACATAATAAGTAAATAAGTAAATCACAAACAAGTATTTTTTTTTTTAATGGCTCTCACCTATGGCAGTTCTTACAATCCATTCAAATAAATTTGATTCACTTCAATTCAATTTTACTTATATAGAGTCAGAATAATAATACTTATAATAATAATACATATGGTTAATGCTCCAAGAAAATAAGATAGTAACTAATTAAACTAAATAAAATAGTACAATATATTGTAAAGTTACAAAATATAGAATAGCTTTAATTATAAATATCCCAGTAGAGAGAGATATTAGGCCCCTTATGTCAAACAGAGTGATTTGTGGCCCCAATAAAAATGATTTGTAACCCTAGGAAGTAATAAAGGAAGTAATATAGGAAGTAACAAAAATATGATATTCATAAAAATATGATATTCATCAAAAAGTATGATATTCATCCAAAATATGCTAGTTCATAGCTCATTGCTTTTTTTCCCTCCAAAAAAGAACTAATTGATTATTTTTAAAAAAAAGTTTTTATAACTAATAGCATTATTTCATTTTTAAGCCATTAAAATACGTTTTTTTACTTTTTATGCTTAAAAACGCCATCTGGTGGTGGGTGTGTCTGGGACCGTGCTTGTGTCTTGGGTCTGTGCTTGTGTGTTTAAAAATGTGTTAAACCAGGGTAAAAGTGCTTAGTTAAACTTTTGCTTTGTAACGTTCAGTATGGCCAGACATACAGGTTGCATGCCTCGGGGGAAAACTTTATTTCAATTTATTTGCATTTGTTTAATCCGAACAAAGAGATTTAGAATCAAACTCAGAATCGCAAAAAACTCTCGCGATCCCCGAAAAACTACCCCAAGCATAAGCGCACCGCTGCGGCACACCTGCACCAGGGTAAACCTCCGCCTATCCCACTCCTGCTTTACAGGTGAAAATAGAGCAAAAGCACCGCTAGTCTTTGACTTTATTTATGTTCTGCTGTGTCTTACTTGCATCTATTTGAAAGACTGAGTGTAAACACAAAAATATTTATTTATGTGCTGGGATGTGCAGAAATAGGTTTAATGTTAAACAAATTTCTTCCAGTCAGAGAATGTTGCATATAATTAAATTTTTGCTTGATGCATAAAGTTAAAAGATTAAAACTAATAAAACAGTTTAAAAAAAAGAGACTTTTCCATTGATTACATTTGTATGATGATTATGCAGAAAAAGTAGATTTGGGCTGAAAGATCTATCGCTTATCACTCTTCAGGTTGTAATCGTGTTTTTAAAAAGTAACTAAGTAACTAATTACTTTTGAAATAAGTAATGAGTAAAGTAACTGGATTACTTTTTAGGGGAAGTAATCAGTAATTAGTTACTGATTACTTTTTTCAAGTAACTTGACCAACACTGATTATGACCCATCTCACCGTGGTAGTTTTTGCGGTGTGCAAAAATTGATTAAAAGCGTACAGGATGAGACTGGTACAAAGATTAACGCGCAAACAGCTCAGCAGTTCCTGTCAGAGCAGGATGCTTACACCTTACACCGAGCTGCACGCCTGCGCTTTCCGAGAAACTGTGTGTTTGTCCCCAGACCTCTTAATCAATACCAAGCAGACTTTTGTGATATGAGAGCATTATCCGAGCATAACGATGGCTATCAATATTTACTTACAGTTATAGATATTTCCTCTAAAAAGGCTTATGCAAGAGTCTTGAAAAACAAAACAGGCGTTCAAGTCACTAAGGCTTTTGACTCTGTCTTAAAAGATAGCCAAATCCCTCAAAAGCTACAAACAGATAGCGGTATGGAATTTTTTAGTTCCAGTTTTCAATTTTTAATGAAAAAGCATGGTATAAATCATTTTGCTACAGGGAGTGATCTAAAAGCCTCAGTCTGTGAAAGGTTTAATAGAACTAAGTAAAGGAAGTAAAATGTATAGATATTTTACAAGATTTATTACACAGCTATAACACTAGTTATCATCGGTCCATAAAAATGGCCCCGAATCAAGTAAATTCAGACAACACAGCATTAGTATTTCAAAACCTATATGGCACTTCTTCTTCTTGCTGCAGAAAAAGCCCATGAAATTTAAAAAGGGAGGTCACATGAGGCTGTCTAAAGTTAGAGGTGTGTTTGATAAGCGGTATGAGCAAACATTCACCGGTGAGATATTTACTATTGACCAATGCATACCTGGAGACCCTCCTGTTTATAAAATCAAAGATTATGATGGGGAAGAAATTATCGGTAGTTTTTACGAGCATGAGCTGCACAAAATCGCTCTTGTCAAGGAAAAGCTCTATCACATAGACAAAATTCTCCCAAAGCGTAAACAGAGGGGACAGGTTTATTTCCTGGTCAAATGGAGGAACTGGCCTGATTTTGAATGGAGGAAAAAGGGTGATGCTGAGCAGAGACCTGATGACGTGATTAAAATGAAAATACGCGCCGGCTTTTATGAGGACACGTTGAGAGCAGAGATTGAAGCCTGCCTCAGGCGTATCGACTCTGATATTTATCTAAAATATCACCCGATTGTTAAAAAGTTTGAATTCACAGCTGGGGGCATATATCAACTTAGGTTTTTCCCGCCTCTCGCATATATGCTTGGTGTCCCAGCAGGTGTCTGGCAGCGATTCGAGCGCAAATTTGCCCATAACCTGCAGATATAAAGGCAGGGTGTTATCATCTATTCTGTTATTCTGATATAGCTGCGTTACAGCTCATGGGTGATAGCTACTCCCCCCTACTGCGTACGGAGATATCATCACCCTGTGCTTTAACAAACCAGACTACATTCCTGTGGCTCGCAAACACATCGAAAATATCCATATTGAAATCAAAACCGATCAGAACGAGCCTGTAAACTTTACCTACGATAAAACGATAGTCAAGCTACATTTCCGGCCTTTCAAGGATCTGTCATAACTCATAGCAATATGGATAATAATAGATTTATACGGTATTAGGAAACGCAGGCTGGTAACGGCCTGCCCGGCTTTTCAGGTGCGCCAGTAATTTACGGACGAGGAATAGCATCTATTTTCTCAAAATTGTTTAGATTTGTGACCCCGTTCATAAAGCAGGGCGTGAGCATCGCAAAATCTCATCTGAAAGCTGCTGTCAAAGGCTTTGCTTCAGATGTTGTCACCTCCTCACTCTCAAATTTGACTCGTTCGAACACACCAGAACAGCAAGAGGGCTCGGGGCTGAGCCCTCTAATAACGTAGACCCTTAAAACGGCCTCCGGGTCAGAAGCTGACAGAGTTTAAAAAGCAGAAGAAAACGGTGA